TCCGAGGAGTGGCTGGTGGGTTTGAACCACCAGCCTTCTGGTTAGCAGTCAAGTGCCTTAGACACTATGCTACCAGAGCTCCTGGTGGTGCAAATGGTTAATGTGGAAGGTTGTAGGTTTGAATCTACCCAGAGGCACCTCAGAAGAAGGCCATTAAAAACCCTAGGGAGCATAGTTCTCCTCTGACTCAAAAGGTCTCTGTGAGTTGGAATTGACTTTATGGCAATTGGTTTTAATAGTGTATATATATGTCACATAGTATAACACCTTCCATAATCAGTTGGATAAAAGAAATTAAAATGAGTTTAGGAGAATTTTATGTAGGTTTTGTTTCTGCAAATAACTAAGCATGTGAGTCTTGCATATTGTTATTCAAGATTGTTGGGAATAGGGACCAAGTGTTGGTAGCTTTAGACTCAAGCTAGGACACTGCTTAATTTGAATGAGAAATTAGATAGGTTCGGTTGTTATTGTCTTTAGTTCCCATGGAGTCAAGTCTGACTCATGGTGACCCCATGCATGCAGAATAGAACTTCTCCTTAGCGTTTTCAAGGTTGTGATCTCACCAAAGTGGATGGCCAGGCCTAGTTTCTAAGATGCCTCTGGGTGGCTACGAACTGCACACCTTTGGCTAGGAGTCAAACACTTAAGGATTTGCACCTAGGTTTTGATTTAAAAAAACGCACTGCCGTTCAGTCAATTCCAACTCATACTGACCCATAGGGTTTCCAAAGGTTGTAAATCTTTATGGAAGTAGATTGCCTTACCTTCCTCTTGCAAAGCAGCTATTGGGTTTGAACCACTGACCATCTGGTTAGCAGCCAAATGCCTTAACTATGGTGCCACCAGACCTCCTTAGTTCTAATTGTTGTTGTTTGTTGTTATGTGCCGTCGAGTCAGACCTGACTCATAGCGACCCCTCCTTGGGGTTCTGAGGCAGTATCACTATGGAAATAGATTGCCCCATCTTCCTTCTAATTAAGGAGGTATAAAGACATAAGGTTGAGTGTGGTAAAATCCTATTCTGAGGGGTCAGCCTGGCTGCCTTTGAATCCTGGGCTGACACTTAACCTTTTTAAAGCCTGGTTTTCTCATCAGTATTACATGGGCCTAATTCCCATATTGCAGGATTATTTTAAGGATTAGAAATAGTACATTTAACCTGCACATACTGAATATGCAATTTATGGTAGTTGGAATGATCAATGACATTTAACAGTAATCTTTAAAGATTCTGAAAAAAGACCAAAAATGTCTGGTTGTCTTCATAATGCATTCATGGAGTGAAGTACATATAGCACTGCCTTTGTCCATTCAGTTATATGATTGTGAGACAGATGGGCTCTAAACGCTTTATCCACAGGCTGGCTCTATCCTGCCTTGGTTGGTGAGGGGGAACCATGGTGTGTGTGCATGGTCTGTCCCCAAATAGTCTCCAAGAGGCCACACCAGAATCTGCTACAGTGATGGCCGTAGGGACCAGCTGTAAACCAGTTTCAAAACGCTTCTTTCGTGTGTATGTGGGAGGGTGGGTAGGGGTGGGGGATAAGGTGGGCAGGGACATATGTATCAGTGGTAACATTTTTGTTTCCTTTTGAGTCCTGTAGTCACACACTAGAGCTATTCAGAGAACAGAGAAGCCAGGGTATTTTTGTGGTAATAAAGGCCGTTTGTTAAAGGCCTGCTTGATCCTTGCTTGTTTTACTAGACCTCAACACAACGGGTCTCTGTATTTTTCTTGGAATAAAACTGGCTTTTACACTGGACACAAAGAAATGTGTCCTCAAGCAAAGGAGGCTTTCTAAATATTAGTGACTTAACTCGATTAAGTATTTCCATTTCCTATTCCTATAACTTTGTGAGACTCAAGTTCCCAGAAAGGCTGCTCTTTGTCATGTTGCACATGACTCTTTAGGTTGGTTATGTTTTAGGTCACTGTGTTCTTATGATCTGAGAAAGTGCTAAAAATGTTCAAGATACTTTTAAAGATTGCTCAAACATGGGAGGTTTTCAGATTTCCAGCACAGCGAACCCAGATTTAAAGTCACTGCAGATTCAGATATCCTCACAGATTCTCAGTGTAAGTTTTTGTCAGCATTTCCTTCCTCTAGTCCTGCGGTCAGCTCAGTGACCTCTTGCATTCTTGGGTTAATGCCATCTTTTTGCATAGTCTCAGCTATAAAAATGTGCTAGCCCTTGCAACATTTCCCTCCTAAGGAAGAATGAACATTAATTATGTTGGATCACCCTGTGTGAATACTCTAAACTAAGCTAATAAAACCCACTGACTCACAGTGACCTTCATAGGGTTTCCAAGATTAAATCTTCATGGAAGTAGACTGCCTCATCTTTGTCCTGCAGAGCAACTGGTGGATTCAAACCACCAACCTTTTGGTTAGCATCCCAATGCCTTAACCACAGTGCCACCAGAGTTCCTTCTAAACTAGGCTAGGGTGGTGTTTTTACCTTAAAGTCCTCAAACACCAAATCAGAGGTATGCCACGCCCTAGTTACTTGAACTTTTGGTGCAACTATGTAATTAATGTCAGATCTTTGATGTTCTTTGACTGTTACATTTCATTTTTGCATCAGTGACTTTCTTCTAACCACTAAAAGTATCTTCTGTGTCTTTTATGCTATTTATGTGAAAATGACAACATGGGATACAGCTGGACTTAAAATCTGGTGAGAAGGTACACATTTTCAATATGTCTTGTAACATTTACTGAACACTAGCAGTTCAGATTTGCTTACTTTTCATTTTCCAAGCTTTTAATACTTTGTATTTTACTTGTTTTTTAATTAAACCATTTCAATTCTAAACCTAAATGTTTTTACATAATATTTCAGATCTCAGCTTTCAGTATTTGGCATGACAGGGTTTTTGAATCATTGATCAGAAAATAATTCAAGAAATTAACGATTTTTAAAAAATTGTGTGACTTGGCAGCGACTGCTAGTTTTCCTCCAAAACCA